TGACTAGTGTGAAAAACTATGAAATCATCGTCATTAGCAGTATAAGCATGTCTAATCCCAAGTTGATACCAAATTAGAAGATAACAATTTTGTTCCTTTTCTCAGGATTACAAGAAAGAAAATGGCAAGTAAAAATATCGAGACCATGGAGGAAACATCGGGATCTAAGGAAGTTGCAATCATCAACAAACCTTCTGGTTGTGTTGTTGCTTCAGGGGAGAGAAGACCTGCAACTGTCCCAAAGGGACCAAACTTCCATAGCATTCACGTCCCTAAGAGCTGTACAAAGAGACTGAAATCACGAGTCTGATATATCTTTGTTTCGATTCACACGAGAGTCCTACTACAACTTTGGTTCATTATTTTAGCGTGGTATAAACACGTTATTTTACCGAGTTTTTGAGATTGATCAACACAAAATGGTAAGCTGTGAAATCCAAAAGAGGATGATTTCTTGGATAACTCGTCCTTAGTCAATTCTCAGCAGTGGTACGTATACTCAGTACTGAAGTAATGGCCGTCAGAAGCTTCTTCTTCATCTGCAGGAGAAAAAAAAATGGCTAGTGTGAACTATGAAATCATCAAGTCAGAAGAGTATAGAGTTGTAAGATGTTCCAGTTACCTGAAGAAAGTAACCTTCGTTGTCGTACTCCATAAGTATATTGTTCATGTATTCCATGTACACCATGTATCCCATGTATGCTGCTTCAATATCCACTGCAGGAAACAAAACAAAAAAAGGCTAATCCCAAGCTGATCCAAATTAGAGTTGTAAGATGTTTAGAGTTACCTTCAACGGTTTCATCATCACTATCGTCCCGAGAAGTAGAGATGTGCCTCTGCATGCCACATCCTTTTATCCTTTGGACCGAATAGGGACAAGCTTCTATGTCACAAGTATGTTCATGTAGCTTGTGAGAACAACCATAGATACGGTAGTAAAACTTAAATTGCACAGTGTCGTAGTCCATTTCAGGTGGAAATTCAGTAACTTCTTCTGTAGGGAACCCAAAGTGGAACACAAGCAGATGATCCATCTTAACCGACACAAGATCAAAGTTAATACGATGCACACTGGTTTTGCCTCTGAAATACCAGCGTACCACAACGCATGGCAAATCAAACTCTGTGACAGTCGTAGGTTCAAGTACGATGCAAACCTTAAATCTCAAAAATTCTTCAGAAAGAGAGCTCTTAGGTAAATGAATAGTTAGGGAACTTCCACAAGCTCGATGCGTGAAAAACTTGGGCACTTGTCCAATTGGTAAGACAGCGTACTTGAAATCTGATTGTATGATGAGTTTCTGTGCGTTTTGATCTAAATTAAAGCAGTTATCGAAATTGAGACGAAGTGAGTGAGAGACACCCTTGAGAGATTTGAAAATCTTTGCATCACCAAATTCTGTAACTCCTTCACAATCGGAAAAGTCTACCTTCTTAAGCTCTTCCAATTCAAAGATGTTTGGAGAGATGTTTTTCAACCTCTTGCAACCTCTCATCTCGAGTCTCGAGAGCATAGAGGCACAGTTAATCCAAGAAGGAACTTCTTCAATCGCTGTGTAGTTGAGAATGAGAATGCATATGTTCCTTGAAATCTGAGGGAAACTTTTCAACTGTGAGCAACCACTGAGATTGAGAAATTCGAGAGATTCCAAGTTGAGGTTGGTTGGAAGAGACTCGAGCCTTGTGCATCCAATCATGCTCAACAAAATCAGCTCATTGAGACTTCGAATTGAACAAGGAACTGTCACCAAACTTTTGCAATCATTGTGACAAAATAACTCGAGTTTGATGGCCTTTGAAAGATTTGGAATTTCTTTCAGGTTTTCAGATCCTGACAAATCCATCACCGAGAGATTTCCAAGTGACTGAAACAAGAAAATTAAAAACAAATTAATGCATAGAACAATTTTGGAAAAGTAAACAAAAATTAGTTAAGAAAATTTTATTTGAGATACGTAAATAAAGTTCAATATGTACTTAGGTAGTTTTTAAAATGTATTTAGAAGCTAGGTTGCATGGAAACTCCAAGGT